ATTCCAAGATGGTAGAATCGGTCCTGGTTTAAAGCTCAATGCTGTGGGGGCGCCTGGGTGGCCCAGTCAGTCAAGTGTCTGACTTTGGCTCAGGTCATGATCTCATGGTTTGGGAGTTTGAACCCCGCATTGGGCTCTCTGCCGTCAGCACAGGGCCTGCTTCAGTTCCTCTGTTCCCCACCTCTCTTTGTCCCTCTCCTGCTCTCTCTCTCTGAAATATAAATAAACATTTAAAAAAGGGGGCATCTGGGTGGCTCATGTCCAGTTGAGTGTCCGACTTCAGCTCAGGTCATGATCTCACAGTTCGTGGGTTTGAGCCCCGCGTTGGGCTCTGTGCTGTCAGCATGGTCTCCCTCTCTCTCTGACCCTCCCCCAGTCATGCTCTGTCTCTCTCAAAAATAAATAAACGTTAAAAAATAAATAAAGCTCAATGGTTTGGAAAAAGGCTCCCTTTGGTGTCCAGTCAAATGGAGGACCGTGAACCAAAGCAGTTAATACAGAACTTGATTCACTTCACTTGTGGTTGATTCACATGTCTCAACACATACCCATTTGTATCCTTTCTTTCCAAACTCCAGGAAAGACAGTGAAGATCATTGAACCTTCTTTTAGTGGCCATCTTTAGACCACTTTTAAGAAATGCAGGTGTTGTTGGTTCAGATATGAAGTTAGGGGTTCTGGGGGTTACATGTTTGTTTTGTTACCACTGAACTTAAGTTCCTTGAAGGAAATCAAGTTTTGCGTTCCATTTAATGTCAAGGAATAACACAGAACTCTTTACTTAACAACATTAAAAAAAATTAAACACTTAAATGTTTTACAAGTTAGGAGTGGTAAGGTCCATTTCCTAAATCCTGAGGTTCTAGAGAACGCGTTTGTTGTATTCAATAAAATATGGCTGAACTCTATTTTAAATGGATTCATCTTCCTTGCAGATGTTACCTTTTTAGGGGACTGAGTGGAGCATTCGGGGGGAGCTGAAGTAAAGCCGTGGGCAAGATCTGATCAGCACGGGCATGTGCTTATAGAACTCTAAGCACTAATTCCTTTCTCATGAATTCTTGACAGCCATATATATCATGAGCCCACACGCATTCCAGTACTGGAATCTCTTAAGATTTCTGCCTGTGTCTTCTATAAATTACATCTAATTTAAGGGAAAAAGAATCAACTCAGGACGCCTGTAGAAATGAAGTTACAGTATCAGCTTCAAGAATAGTTTGTAGGAAGACTGGATTCATTGCAGCTTTTTGTTTGAAATGTAATACTGCAGTGTAAGAAGGATGGCCGTACAGCTTCCACAGGTAACGTCTACATTTATTTTATACCAAAAAAGTTATGTGCAACAAATAAACATTCTTACATATTTACATTTGTTTTTACCAGTTAGCAAAACTGTGTCCTAAATCTCTGGTAAAGAATATTTCTATCTATATTAAAGGGGAAGTCTGCCCAGTGAACTCCACTTTAAATGAATGTTTACTCCAGAGCTGAAAGCACTAGTAATAAATATTTTCGATGGAACATACTATACAGATCATACACCTAATACTTAGGCCATGCTTAATACAGTTTTATAACAAAACATTTCACCTTTTCTGGGCTAATTATTTGTAAAAAACAAACAAAAAAACCAAGTAGCCCGGATTCCCACCCCTGCCCCTTTTGTTTGATTGAAGGGTAGTTCTCACAGATTAGGAATCATTAGTGCTGCCTAAAATGTCTGAATAGAAATGTTCCACCAATGCTTATATCTCGGGGGAAAACCCATGAGGACAAAGGTTGCAGGTTAGGTATTCCTTCCCAATAGGTTGCCAATAATGATAGTGAATTTCTTGTTGGCATTTGTCCAATACAGATTTTCAAGACAAGGTCTGTCAGCATTCACTCACGTTAAGCAGTGGTTCTAATCTCAGTTACAAAGCAATTGCTGAAGATTACTTTGCACTTTTGCTGATAATCTTAAAGATATAAATGAAATACAAACAAATAAAAGCCAACAATTTAGGTTTAATTAGGTTTAATTTCACTGTAGTCTTGGTCCTATATCCTACTTAGTAGGGTCCAAAGATCTCTTGTACCAAATGGCAGATCTCTGTATGAAACAGTCAATGCTTTCAACATCTTTAAAAGTAATAGATTTAAAGAGAGGTGACATACACAAAGGAAAAGTAATTCCTGGCACACAGCTAGTTAAACCTGAGTTATTTCACCAGTTTACCTTCCTGGAAAGCACCTAGCTGAAATGCAAAACTGAATGAAATCCTCCAAATCACCTAGATTGCCTAGAATTTATCATTTAACCACAGCTTCTCTCATTTCTTCAAATGATATGACTACACAGTAAATAAGAGGCTTCATTTGTTACATACAACTTATTCCCAAAACCAAGAAGCATGGAATAACTGCAAAAAACAGAAATCCAATTCTCCCTCCCCCCCCCCCCCCCCCCCCCCACCGCAGTTTGTTCTTCAATGTCGGTGGCTGGTAATGTCGCAGTGTTTTAAATATTCAGTCTCAAAAAGTCATAACGATCCTCAAATTTTATAGCATGGTGTTTTCTCCTTCTTGGAGTGGAAGAGAGGATGTAGAGGGGAGCCTAAATTCTTCCAGGGCAAAAATATCCCAGCACCCACTGGGGTCCTGTTACTTACTGACATACTGGCATTACCCTGCTGTTACTTCAGGCGGCACACCTTCATCACTCAGTGAGAAAACAAAGAGATTAATTCTACTGGGCTCATAGGAATGTGGCAAAAAATTTTCGTACAACTGAAACAGTGGTGTTTCCCCCAAGGCTTAGGAAAGCAAAGGAAAATCTTGAAGGGTCTGGCTGAACGTTTTTACATTTTATCACATGAGAGTTGACATTTGCAAGAACACAACATCAAGACAAGCTTTAACTATACTCTGCTGATTGATACCAAATATGATGAAAATCCATTTGAAATTGGGACATGAGGAACTTATTTAGCACAACCAGTGTTATATATACCACAGAAGTCTTCACTGTTAACCTTTTCCATTCTAGCCTAGAAGAAAGAAGCAGTAAACTGCCTGGCAGACCGGGAAGCACTGCGATAAGGTGACCTCATTGTACAAGTCCTCCAACATTACGACTTGTTTCTCCACAAACACCAGACATCCGATCAATGCTTTCTAGAGTTCTTTAACTAGAAACAAGAACAATACACACATAATAAAACAGGCATTGAAATATTCACATTCATGGGAAAACAGCCTTGAAATCTGAATTCAACTTTTACAAAACCTGTTAAAACCCGTTGGAAGTTCATTACAATTCAGATTTTATACCTGCCTTGGGCCAGAAAAATACATTGCATCAATTAGGACAGTTAGTTGGAAACTGCTGAACAGTTGCTGACTCTACACAGTACGGTTTACAGAGCAGAGCCTGTCCCCTCCCTTCAAAAAGAAGGCTTATTAAAGAAAAGTCACCGGTCTATTTTTAACATAATGATTAATCTAACTGGAAGCAAAAACATTGCTACTACTTCTCAATCTAAGGAACAAAATGATTGTACAGAACCTTTTTATAGACTGATGCAGGCTTTCTACTTCATGGTAAGAGGAAGGAAGGACACTTCTGCCCAAGTTCAACACACAAAATATTTGGTTTGAGATTTAAGACAGAAGGCACTTTTAACATTCTGATATAAGGTGTTAACCATAGAAACATACTGTCACACTTTCATTTGGGTTTATTCAAATCACTCTTAAAACCTATGCATTGCGTAGTACTAGAAGGAGTAGTGACACCATTAGTGTATTTTACCTTCAGATATTTCTACCCGTACTACCGGTTATGCAAACTGAGCAGCGTGTCAGCCCTAAAATTTACAAATCTAGTATGGACTCTAAAACAATTAGAAACTAGACATCCAATTAGTGCAGAATTAAACAGGAAATACTACAGAGCTACCCAAGAGCAATCCTACTCTGGAGCAACTGGGCTTATACTGGTTATTTCAAGGTCCTAATACTGTTTGGTCGACTGGCACCGATGTTAAGGAAGAATATCTGCATGAAAATTCAACTGCTGTAAGAGACTTTACCTAAAAATGCCATGTTAATATTTCCAGCTTTTCTCCAAAGAAATCTACCCATTTCCCCATTTTTAGTGTCCTGAAGGCCTTGGATGTGAAGGTCTGGTCACATGACTCATTTGGTAAGGTTATAATCAATCCAGTTTTATGACTAGACACAGGCTTGACTTGAATGTCCAAATTTAGTTTCTTCCTTTCTGAGGAAGGAGATGAAAGGGAACCAACTACCCTATTATTTTTGCTGTCAGTGCTGGACCCACAGCTGTCAGTACTTTTCACAAGATGCTCTGTATGGACTTACTATTTTCACTATTTCTTCGGTCAACGTTGAGCTGACAATTCTTCATCGCTACACTTCAACTAAACTGTACAGTAAGTTCTGCAGGGATGGATCCAATATTTCTACCTTTATTTACAAATATCACATAAATGGATTCTAGTTGAATCTACATGTTTAAATCCATCGGCTAAAAACATATTACATATTGTAAACATGGCAATATTTAATACAGTATCTATTCTAAAATATTTTCATGTCATGATCACATTTGTTATACCTGAAATTGAATTTATACACATTAGAGAATTACTAGCAATGGTTGCTCACTTTACAATCAAGGGCAGGGGGCTAGGGCTACATTTTATTATTTCAGAAACATTTTCAAAGTAAAGTTAAAGCTTGTCTTTGATTGGCTCAGCATATCCTTTTTTTTTTTTTTGTATCCATATTTAAAATGAAGATTGACACAAAATAGCTAGGGCCCCTTCTAATTTATAGGATTTTATAAAATCAGTTTAAGATTCTCAGGGAAAGTGTCTGTTGTGAAGAATTTAAAAAAAAAAAAAAAAAAAAAAAAAAAAAAAAAAAACGCTGCAAAATAAACTTAATGGAAAAGGGAACTTCAGGCCGTCAGTCCGGAGCTGGTCAGGCTGTCAGTCTTGCTTAGGCTGCAGCTGCCGTTTCCAGGCCTCATTCAAATAAACTAGTCGTTTGTAGTTGATGATAAGAAGAATGAAGTTCAGCACATATGTGATGACACAGATGATGCAAAACTCCTTCAGCACAAAGTACAGAATGTAGGCCAGGTACAATGACCCCACCACAGACACAATGGAGGACGTCATGAGGATTAAAGCTGCGACTGCACTTGCTGTCATGCCTGCAAGAGAAAGAGACGTGTGGCTCTGTCAGTCCTTGACAATGGCGAGAAAGTTTCTGAGTTAAAAGCTAGCACTCCATGATTTGCTGCAGCGTTGCAATACTGATTTTACTGCAAAATGCTATGGAATTTGAGAACAAAAGTTACTCATCTATTTTATTAAGATTATGCAGGGTGACTTTTGCACACAGAATACCAGTTTTATAGCTGCAGTGTTTTTGATTTGTCAGTATTCTAGGTGAAGTATCACTTCTATCATAAACTAGCTTTAGTTAAGTCATGCAAAGAAAATATGCAGTCTTGTAATCACATTATGCAATAAGCCAGTCTGTAAAATTGACAGTCTCACCCCCTCCGAATGGATAAAGGAATGTGAGGACCACAACCTTCTCTCCCAAGCAGGACACGCTTCCCCTGGCCTTTGCACTGGAGGCTCCCCATGTGTGGGAAGTAAAATTTGCTTTCCATGTTTAGATCAAATTTATCAAAAATCCGAAATGGGAGATGATTATACCAATATGCTGCTGAAGAAGGGGAAAAAAAATTGTAGTAAACACTTCAGAAAGGGCTCACCCTGGAAGGTAACGGAAACCACGTTTGGCCAGTCGGCCACATGTGGGTCAAAGCAGATCAAGAAAAAAGGCAGTTATGTGCACTAAACCAGGGCTCTCTCAGTGCTGACATCCTCACGTGTATTGTTTTGCAATTTCCCACAGCTAACAGAAATGAGAACGTGTGTGCTTATTCTCAAGGACAGAGGAGTTAGAGCATTTTACACTACCCTCCTACCCAACAACTAACGGACAAGGAAAACACAAAGAGGAAAAAATAATTGGTGGTAGGAGGTTTGAAGAAGTTAATTAAGGAGCTGAAATCCCCACCTCCTGTTGAATGAGAAGCTGCCTGGAGGCTATAGTCTCACCATAAAGGCCTGACTTGCCCACAGGACTGGTCAGTACTAAAGTATGGCCTCTCATAAGACTCTTCCAGACTAAGATACTATTGGATTACTTACAGTGAGGGACTGGCCAACCTGGCCACCTGCTTTTGTGTAACAAGATCAGACTGAGGGGCTTGGTGGTTTAGCTCTAAGTTGTTGCCCCACTTTCAGCCAGGTCACGATCTCGGTCTGTGAGTTCGAGTTCGCATCGCTCTTCTGGGCTGATGGCTCAGAGCCTGAGCCTACTCGATTCTGGTGTCTCCTCTCTCTCTGTCCCTCCCCCGTTCATGCTCTGTCTCTCTCTGTCCCAAAGATAAAATAAACGTTGAAAAAAAAAATTTAAAAAAAATAAAAAAATTAAAAAAAAATAAAGACTGGAACCCAGTCACACTCACTCATTTAGGTAACATCTGTGGTAGAGCTGAGTAGTTGCGACAGCCAGCAAAGCCTAGATGGTTTTCTGTCTGGCCCTTTACTTAAACAGTTTGCTAACGTCATTGATGCTAAATGTCTAAAACTTCAAAAATTAATGCTGCCACATTAATTTTAAAAAGAAAGTGAGTTTCAGAATGATACGAACTGTTATTTACTTCCTCCATGTCACTCTCTTCCTTGAGATAATAATCGTTTTTACCTCCTAATACTGATGTGTGGATTAAAAGAGCTGATAGGTGGGGCACCTGGCTGGCAGAGAGTGCAACTCTTGATCTCAGGGTTGTGATGTCCGCTCCACGTTGAGCCGAGACTAGTTAAAAAAAAAAAAAAAAGATAAATAAAGGAGCTAATAGGTACAAAGCACTTCGAATGCTCCATAAATACTGGCTGTTGGTTAAGTACTATTGTACCAAACCTGTCCTAATGTAACGTAATGTAGGCTGGTGGCTTGGGATACAATTCCCGGTGGAATTTACAATGTGCTGTAACTCTAAATAAATGACAGTACTATCAAACAATGGAATATTTTGCAGCTGTAAGGAAGGATGAAGACACTTAGTGGGTGGCTATGGATATCAATGTATTAGTCAAGCAAAAAAGAAAGCAGAGTATATAGAACAGTATGTATAGCATCTGCCTTTTATATTTTAAAAGCAGGAAAATTAAGATGATATATTTGTATTTTCTTGGATATGCCTTGCGAAACTCTACAGCAACAACAAGCAGATACCAGTTGGGCATGAAAGGCAGTAGGAAGTGGGCAAAGGGGGACGAGGGGTGAGGTAGGCGTTTCGCTGGACAGCATTTTAATTTTTTTTTTTTTACTTTTGAACTCATGAATGTATTACCTATGGAAAAATTAAAAATGCTGTCTCTCAAACACCTTAGAAGGGAGTGAAGATTATGTGCTCTGGAAAACTGTTAAATGAGCTCACATATATATGCCTTCAATGTGCCTCCAGACATTAAAAATGCATGTGAATGCACAAAATTGTGAACAGAAAAGATACATAGGATACATATGATTTTAAAATATATATATAAGGAAATTCACAAATCAAATATTATAAATAGAAATTTGTTCCATCTCTATCTCAAAAAATTAACATAGTCAAAAGCATGTTTTGGGCTATTTTAATTTTGGCTTGTATGTTTGGATTTATAGATTCTTCTTTAGAAATCCAAACAGAAAAAATAAATGGAATAAAAAATAAAAATCTCACTCCTGGCCTCCAACCACCAGACCCTTTCCTATGCATTCACATGCATATATGTAACATAAACTTGTATCTATTATACTATAATTTACTTTTTTCACTAACCTATGTCTTGATCCTTCCAGAATATACATGTAGACCTACTTTTTCCTTAAATGGCTACATAGTATTTTCTAGTATGGAGGTAACCTAATTTATTCAGCCATTACGTTTGAACGCTTCCAATTTTTTTGCTATTTTAAACTGTACTGCTGTGCATATCCTTGTGTATATTTTTGTATTTCTATAGGATATAGAACAGGGCAAACTTGATAAGGAATATTTAGAAAACTTAGATTCACAATTTGCCTCATAACAAATCAACTTCAGCTAGACAGAAGAGCAGAAAAGAGCTGGCAGATAATAGGGCAGAATATTAACAATTGAAGCCCAAAGATAAAAATGGATAGATTTAACTCTAAAAACATAAAAAAATTTTCGTATGATCAAAATTCACCAAACTAACATAAAAAAGGAAAAAGAATGGGTAAAATGTTTCTAACAAATATGGAAATGGACTATTATCAGGATCCCATCAACAAAAGTGACAATGTAAGGAAATTAAAATGTAATAATGGCTATACTTTGTAACTACTGAATTAGAAATTTAAACATTAAAAAAAATCTATGTGTTTTGACTCATCCATCTCATGTTTGGAAATTTATTTTGCAGAACTAATTCAAGGAGGGAGGTGTGTGTGAAGGGGTCTTTAAACGATGTTGATTACCACAGTGTTAATGAGCATAAAAAAATTGAAACCTTGTTATCAACAACAACAAAAAACTGAAAAGGAGAAACAACATAAGGATTCATATAAAATTAAGTAAAAAGAACAGAAAGCAATGGGAATAGTGGAGGTGTAAAGGTGATGAAATTATGCACATGGTTCACTGTTAGTGTTTTCTCAGTGCGTAATAGTTTTAAGTAACCACACAGTATATAAAGTAATAAGAAAAAAAGTTTCCAGGGAAGACTGGAGTAATAAGTTCTCTGATTGGGACTGTTTTTTCTGGACACTATGGGATGTTGCCATCCTTGATTAAACACCAACAGATACCAAGTTCAGCATTAGCATCATCAAAATCTTAGGGAGCCAAATTTTCACAACAGAAAAATGTACTGTAAACTAGTGGTTCTATCATTAACATGCTTTTATTTAATATAAAGACATTTCAGGGAAAAGACACAAAGTACTAAATGGAATACAACAAAACAAACTTATTTTTGTATTGCTGTATACTTACCAAGTAATAATTGTAGTATATAAAATATAAGTCCAAAGACACTGTTTGGCTGGTTTAATACACCATCCTTTCCAAAAATGGAACCCAAAAGACCAAATCCTCGACCCCATCTGTAAAATAAGGAAAACCAATAACCCTATTTTGAGTCCTCCTATTTTTAAAAATATAAAATTACTTGAGAATGCCATGCCAATACACCCATCTGAATCTCTAAGTTGCCTATTTCTATATATTCTCTTATGCAAAAGGTAGGATAAAGTACTCTTTTTCTTTTTAAATGTTTATTTATCTTGAGAGAGAGAGCGCACACACGCACGAGCAGGGAAGGACAGAGAGAGAGGGAATCCCAAGCAGGCTCCGCGCTGTCAGCACAGAGCCCAACGAGGGGCTCAAACTCACAAACTGCAAGATCATGACCTGAGCCAAAGTTGGACGCTTAACTGACTGAGCCACCTAGGCACCCTCAAAGTACTCTTTCTCTGATGGCATTAGTATCTGCAGAGAAAGGGCTCTCTCAATTTAAGCCAGAGCCTCCTAGCAGCAGCAGCACTCACATTTTGGGCTAAAGAATTCTTTACAGTTGGGGGCGGTTCAGTGCATGACAGGGTGTTTAGCAGTATCCCTGGGCGCTGCCCACTAGATGCTAGTAGTACAACCCGCCAGTTGTGACAACCAAAAATGTCTTAAGCCATTGCCAAATGTTCCTGGAGGGGGACAAAACCACCCCCATTGAAAGCCACTGACTTAAGCTGCCCTATTTCTTCATTCAAAAGTCTGTAGATTGCAGTGTTGCTTCCTGACAAATTTCACCAGGATATGCAATAGGAAATGTATCTTGGGAACACATCTTTAAATGTAGAACAAGAGCAGAAACTATAGGCCCTTCCTAGAATCATACATACCTCAAGAGTAAAAAACTGACACACTATTTGTTCCATTGTTTTTATTTGCAGTTTAACCTCAAGTTTTGCATTTCACTTCGCATTTTCAGAATCATATTTTCCTATTTTTTAAAAAGATTACTTCTGATCTAATAAAATTTGATTCAAATATCAAACTAACATTTACTTCGGATGAAAACTTTTGAAGATAACTTTAACTACGAGCATGCTTTTTAAAATACCAGAAAGAAAACACTAATGGTTTTAAGTCCATAGCAAAGCACTCAATAAAACCTAAACTTTGGTTTGGAAAACAAACTACCTGAAGACAAGGATAAATAAGTGATTCTTTATTTGTCACACTATTTTAAAAATTTTTTAATGTTTATTTTTGAGAGAAAGAGAGAAAGAGCGTCAGTGGGGAATGGCAGAAAGAGAGGGAGACACAGAATCTGAAGCAGCCTCCAGGCACTGAGCTGTCAGCACACGACATGAACTCATGAACTGCAAAATCATGATCTGAGCCGAAGTCGGACGCTTAACCGACTGAGCCACCCAGGAGCCCCCATCACCCTATTTTTAAAAAATATATATATTTTACAAGCAAGTGAGAGCCCTGAAGATTTTTACTGTACAGAGTTACACACTTTGAGGAACACAAAATAATCTCCACGTTTTTGTATTCTTTCACACATCAAATACTCATTGTGCATGTTCTAGGTGCAGATAATGGGTCAGGCATTGGAATCCAGGAGAGTACCAGTCAGAAGAGGTGGTGCCCTTGTGGAACTCTTATTCCATTTAGGGAGGAGAAGTAGTGAACAGGTGAACAAATGACAAAGTTATCTTCAGAAATGGATGAAACCATTAACAGATATGTGGGAAAAGTGAGGCGGGAGATTATTCGAGACCAGAGCTTCTGAAAAGTTAAAAGTGCATATGATCACTTTGGGGTCTCATTAACATGCAGGTTTTCCTTTAGCAGGTCTGTGTTAAGGGCCTAGGACTCTGTGTTTCCAAACAAAACAAAACAACTCCCAGCTCAAGCTTCTAGTCTGAGGACCACACCACTCAGCTCTAGACGGAGAAGGGGTGGAGGGAGCTATTCTAGCTAGATGGTCAGAGATGGCCTTTTCCAGGAACTAAAATCCTGAATGAATTAAATCCTGAATGATGAAAAGCAGCCAATCTCAAGAGGAACAGCAAACACAAAGGCCTTGAGGCAGGAAGGAGCCGATGAGTGTCCTAAGGCCATAAAGGCTGACACAGGATGAGGGAAGAATGGCAAGAGAATGAGGCACCCAGTCATTTACATCATTTATGGCCTTGTTTGTAGGCCATGATGAAGAGTTTGAATTTTATTCTAATTGCAATGGGAGGGCATTCAGTGGCTTTAAAATAGGAGATTAATATAAGCTTATTTATGATCACTCTTGACTACTGTGTAAAAAACAAACTGCAGGAGAGCAAGAGCAGACGGAAGAAACTATATGCAATCAACTTCTTAGCCCCACTCATCTGAAGTAGGAATTCAAATGTAAATCACCACCTTTGGCAATGGAAATAATTGGGCAGACTGCCAAAATTATAACCGGCAAACAGAATTTTTATATATTCCAAACACTGATCTCTAATTATTCACATAGGATCATGTCGATCTTTTTCCATAGAATGAATATATTGGCTTATCAAAGTAATACGTATATAAGGTTTAAAAATCAAATAACACTGAAAGTCTTACAGAATAGACACCCCATACTCCAGCCCTCTCCACACACAGTTCTGACCCCAAGAGGCAACGATTTTGATATCTTTTAACCTTTTTTCCCTATTTAATTCCACATTTCTAAATAATATGCTTACATGGCTATTTCTTGACTTCTGGATTCTAAATATCTTCTGATTTTCTAATACGGTAGACCAGAATGTTGCTTTAAAGAAACATTTTATTGTGGAAAGCGTTAAATGTACAGACGCAAAGTTAACAGAACAATCCATGTAATAATCTCATCACCCGGCTTCAAAATTAAACCTCTTTTGTTTCATTTCCACCTCTACCCACACACCACTCATGATGATTTTTAGTTACTTTTTAAATTTTAATGCACAAATCTTAACTTTTCTGTAATTTTTTAAAAAATTTTTTTAATGTTTATTTATTTTTGAGACAGAGAGAGACAGAGCATGAACGGGGGAAGGTCAGAGAGAGGGAGACACAGAATCCGAAACAGGCTCCAGGCTCTGAGCTGTCAGCACAGAGCCCGACGTGGGGCTCGAACTCATGGACCACGAAATCATGACCTGAGCCGAAGTCGGCCGCTTAACCGATTGAGCCATGCAGGTGCCCCAACTTTTCTGTAATTTTGATGAATGGAACACCTGACTACTCCTGGATACATCTGAGTAGTCCTGGTATACTAATTCTGGTATACTTACTAATAGTGTGAAAGGAGAATTTAAGTACCTTTCCTAAACAAACAAAACCCAAACATTCCAACACCAGAGAGTCTTCCCATCTCCCCAATTAAGTTGTTAGTTCCTTCCTGTCGATCCACACTCCTCTTTACCACAAGCAGTAAGTACCTGGCTATCTAGGTTGGAATCCAACCTCAAAACCAAAATTAGATCTCTGGTCTTCCTGATCACACTGCTACGCCGTTTCCCTCAAGTCACATTAAGTTATAAAGTACAATTACCATTCTAGCATTTTCAACCAAACAGAACGATCACTTAATTACTTGATGAATATAATAAAGTTTAATAAACTTTGATGAACGATGGAATAAGTGTTAGCAAGTCAACTCACAAAGTAGACTGACATTATGTAAGATTATTTTCCTTGGAAAGGTCAATGAGAACAGATTTTCATAAATGACACTTAAAACTGCTAAGGGTGGTTGTAATTTAAAAACTTCTTAGTGAATTTTTTTCAAGTTGGGACATTTGAAAATACTGAGTTTTCCCCCACTTCTAAAAGCTATATGGAACTATATGAGATACATTTTATGTGCTAACTTTATTCCTGGCTTTATCTTAGTTTCTAACCATTTTCTCCTTGTCCCATCTATAATCACAATTCTATTATTTTACTTATCCCAGACCTGCCCCAAGTAATTTATGGAAGGAGGTGGGATATTAACCAATTGAGAAAAAAAAAATGTTCTCATTTTTTTAAAATGATGATCTTTTTGGTCATTAAAAAAATTATTTTAATGTTTAGTTATTTTTGAGAGAGAGAGAGAGAGACCAGAGCACAAGCAGGGGAGCGGCAGAGACAGAGGAAGACAGAATCTGAAGCAGGCTCCAGGTTCTGAGCGGTCAGCACAGAGCCTGACGTGGGGCTCGAACTCACAGACCGTGAGATCATGACCTAAGCTGAAGTCGAATGCTTAACCGACTGAGCCACCCAGGCACCCCTTGTTGGTCATTTTTTATTAAGTTTTTAATTTTAATTCCAGTGTAGTTAACATACAGTGTTATATTAGTTTCAAGTGTACGATATAGTGATACAACACTTCCATACATTACCCAGTGCTCATCACAACTGTACTCTTTAATCCCTATCACCTATTTTACCCAATCCCCCCCACCCCCTGCCTTCCCTCTGACAATCAGTTTGTTCTCTATAGTTAAGAGTCTGTTTCTTGGTTTGTCTTTTTCCCTTTGCTCATTTTTTTTGTTTCTTAAATTCTACATGAGTGAAATCATATAGTATTTGTCTTTCTCTGGTCTATTTCGCTTAGCATTATACTCTCTAGCCCCATTCATGTTGTTGCAAATGGCAAGATTTCATTCTTTTTTTATGGCTGAGTAATATTCCATTTTATACACACACACACACACACACACACCACATCTTCCTTATCCACTCATCTGTCGATGGACACTTGGGCTGCTTCCATATCTTGGCTATTGTAAGTAATGCTGCTATAAACATAGGGGTACGTGTATCCCTTTGAATTATTATTTTTGTATTCTTTGGGTAAATACCCAGTAGGGCAGTTGCTGGATCTTAGGGCAGTTCTATTTTTAACTTTTTGAGGAACCTCCATACTGTTTTCCACAGTGGCTGCACCAGTTTGCATTCCCACCAACTGTGCAAGAGGGTTCTTTTCCCCACATCCTGGCCAAAAGCTGGTTCTTGTGTTTTTTATTTTAGCCATTCTGACAGTGATATCTCACTGTAGTTTTGATTTGCACTTCCCTGATGAGTGATGTTAAGCATCTTT